AAAAAAAAAAAAAGAAAAAAGAAAAAAAGCCGCAGTGTTAAAAAATTTCATAAAACAATTAATTTCATGTTATCGAATCATTTGTAAAACGCTTCAAAAATAACATCAATGTTATCTATTCTTGAAAAGAAAAAAAATATATATACAGGGCTTGTAAATTTGTCTGATTGTGAATGAAAAAATCATGCTTAAAGTGGGTCAATCAGCTGATTTAACTCCATAGACAGTTCCTTGTTTCTAATATTGACCATATGCTGCGAAACAGATGATTAAATTTTGGGATATAACTAGAAGTAGCTTAAAATACATTAATGCTGTAAACTTTCTCTCATTTGACCTCTGGTCGCATTTCCATCAAGAGTTTGTTATTTCCCTTGCGAATCAAATTTCCGTTGCCAATTCTTCGGAGCTTTTTTTATTTTAAACCACATATCACTTAAAAAATTTTGTTTTAGCTTTTATAAATCACAGATATATCCCTCAAAACATTTTATTTCAGCTTTCTATATCTTCTGGAGAACATATGTTTGGTGATAATGGATATTTAATCTTTTATCATTAGCAGTTTTTAATGTACTCTAGTACAAACAACACCTGTGCAAAGCTGACTCAAAACACAAAACAGCTGTCTGTCTTATAAAATGTTGTTGAAACAAACCCTCGAAAGCCAAATGGTGCAAAAGAAAGAGCAGGAACTTTCAAAACAAGAACTATGAGCTACGCTCCGCACTTTGATGACATAAAATTTAGCAGGGTGCATTTTAAAATTTTATTGTTTATGAATAATTAGGTAAGAGTTTTTATCTAAGCAAGTAAAATGATGCACTTGTTATGAAGTGGTTAAAAAATATTTCAAGAATCTTCACTAGTTTTTCAAAAAAGAATTAGACTTTCCTAGTTATAATTTATTATTTTATCTCGTGTTTCGCTATTTAAAAATAAATTACATAAATCTCAATGTAAACAATATTTCGGAATTTTTGAAAAATTTGTTTCTTTGAAAATGAGCGAGTCGCAAAACATTTCCTGAGATCAGAAAGGTCCTTGAGGGAGAAAAATCTCGGAAATCTGATTTAAGATTTTACTGATTTTATACCGTTTCCCCTCAAATCTGAAGAAAAGCTTCTTCTTAAATATTTTTGATAACGTCAAAACAAATATTTTCAGAAGGTACATTATGATTCCTGTCTATCAATTTCATAAAAAGAAATATCGCTAACGAAAATGCAAAACACAATAAAGAGCAATTAGCTCACAATATTAAAAATAAACTTAGGTACAAAACTATTGAACTATTGGCACTAATGAAACTGTCACCGCCCGAAATACTAATGACAGAAATAAATTTGAATAACTTTTCTTGCTACATTTCATTTCACAGATAATTCATTTAAAGATCCTGCATTTAGTTTCAAGCAGCTTAAGAATAATAATACCCTATACTGTACACCCTAAATTTTCCATACTAAATTTCATGAGTAAAATGTATTAGCTCATGAATACATGAGCAAAATGTATTCATAAGCAAACGTGTTAGCAAAATAAACACTTTCGTTTAAATAAATTGATCTTCACACACTGATTTTTTAAGAAAAACTGAACTTTGGTTTCCTGTCTCATGCTGTAACAAATTATGAAAGTCCACTTTCACTGCTGAAATTTGATGAATTTCGATAGGACTCATTGTTTCTACAGGAACGACGCAAATAAAAAGTATAATGTTTTCTTTGTCGCGCGTTTAAAGCCACACTTATGCTATCCATAAATCTTAAATTTTAAAACATTAAAGCTGTAAATACAAATAGCTATACAAATTAGAATTTTATAAAGCTGAATAAAATGTTCGTTAAATAACAACTGATCTTTCCATTTAAGAATGTTTAATTTCTTCAAAGGAATTTAATGTCATAGTTGTGTAGAACTTTAATGCAATTCCTACAGTTAAAATATTTATTTCTGTGATGGTGTTCGAACTGATAGATAAAAGAGTCAGTCCAATGTTCTCGGAACCTCAAATTGACTCTCGGATATAAAATGAACAAATACTACTATCAGGTACTTACAAATATTGGCGTTTATATGCATTCAGTCACTTAATGATGATCACTATTGTCTACAGTTCAGCAGTACACATCAACTATTATATCTTCGCAATCTCAGTATACTGTGAACACTCTCTAAAATTGTGAAATATGAAGTATTTCTGATTTATTACTGTCCTTACATTTTAGTTCTTTACAAATACTTGTAAGAAGAAAAACTAAAATCTTTTTGTAATTTATCCTCAAAATCTGTTATCAAAAATCTCTTGGTGAATGCCTTTTATCCTCGCAGTTTGCTAGCGTATTTGAAAGAAGATTTAACCAAAAGTGGTTAAAAGATATCCCTCAAAACATTTTTGAAAATTTCGTAATTGTATAAGCGTAAGCAAGTAAACTATAATACAATATTAGATGAATCGAAAACAGAAAATAACCAGTTACTATAAATTTAAAATAATATATGCAGAAAAGCGAGAAATATGTAAACGTGACCCTCATCAAGAACTGTTAATCTCGGTATTATGAAAATCGTGCACTTTCATCTAATTCTCATCTTCTGAAACTTTCGTTATTTTCAGTAGACGACTTAATAACTGAAAAAGAAAATGGCATCACTTCCACAACATACATTTACTTACGCATAGCAACAGCAAACTGACACGCACTAGTGCACTCAATCAGCTTTAATATTCAAGGTAGTTTGGTGACGTGTTTAGAAAAACAGTCATAAGAAGGAAGACAAAAATAAGTGTATGAGAGAAAGGTTTTTAAACAGTTATACAACAGACCACTTTACCTAAATCTGGCAAAATTTAGTGAATGGGCAGAATTTCAAAAGGGATGTTATTCAGCTGTCGAAGGAGACTTTTTGGAGAAGTTCTACAGAAAAAAAAAATAATCGAAACAGTAACAGTGCTTTGTGTAAATATTTATTTAGATTTTAATTTCTAAAAGAAACATGTTCTTTAATTAAAAATTTCAAGGTCTTCTTCCTCTCGTTTTCTGTCTGGTTTTGAAGGTTGGATATTAACATTTTTACGTATTTTTACAAAAATGTTTAATTTTTTACTTTTATCGTAGGAAGTACCTCAAAGACAGAAACTGTGCCACTAATTTAAAAAGGTGACATCTCAAGTGTCTAAAGAACAAAGAGGTACCTTTCAAATATCGAAAAGAAGAATCACCCTAATAGAAAGGTGTAAGAGTGTTTTAAAGGTTAATTAAAATTATGCATCATGTACGATAATAATCCACGTAATAAGTAATTATGTATTTACAATTCGTTTCTTTCTTTTGACACCAAAGTTAATAACTGTTGTTTATCTTCTAAATTTATGCTGTGCCATATTTAAATATTCTACCATTTTTTTAAGCTGAATTATACTTCTATCTCAGTTATGTCAATTTTTTTGTAGAAAAGATGCTCTTTCAGACGCTCATAAGGAATTCCTTGATGATTATGCAATTCCAGTTTATGCGTATAACAATTCAAACATTTTACCTGTATGGAACAACTATTAAGCAATGCTAAATTCGCTTAAATGTAGGAAATTTAATTTTGTCAAAATAACTTCGATAAAGCGAAAAAATTCTCAAAACGTTCTCGGTCTAGAGCTTAGATTACATCTGCATAAACGTTTCGTTATCAAAAAATTACAATAGCATTCTAATAAATGTCTAGTATGTGCGAAATGGTAATTTAACTAATTAGTACGTAATTAATACAATATACAACCCTTACATTAATGATTTTCAGTATAATATAATGCTATTAATGCCTCTGAAAAACATCAAGATTTCCGTTTAATCGGTGGACCGATGCGTTGATAACTGATATTTTGCATTCACATAGTTTATGCTTTAATACAATATTTTCTTAAAACATACTTAAAATTACTTTCTTAAAACATAATTTTTTTAAAAAAAGATCTTTCGTTATCGGTATTTGTTTGTTGTACGATAGTACTAGAGTTGACGATCTTACATAGCTTAATATTCTTCGTAGTTCATAAGTCTAACAAATTTTCCATAATGCTCAATTCTTTTAAGTTAGTTTTACGTGAATGAAATCATGTACTAATTTATCTTTATCAATAAATATAGGAAAGCAAATAAAATTGAATAAATCTGGTCAGCAATTACCAACTTTGTAAAAATTTGCTGCTGGCTTTTAAGACATGCTTTTAATTTTCAAATAACGATGCTTAGTTTTTTCCAGTAACGATATCCAGCTTGTTTCTGTTATTCACAAGAAATAGATAGAAGTTATTCCTATGACACGAAGCTAAAGTCCTGTGATCCAACGTTCAAAGGTTTGGTTTTGGATTTTGAAATAAGTATGTTGGACAATGTACTTTAAGTATACATTCTAATAAAATTAATTATCGCCTTGGATTAAAATGAATGAACGTTGACAAACTTAAATCACATTCTAAAATATAAAATATTCTTTAACTTTCTGTTAAAGAAACATTCTAAAACATGAAATATTCTTTAACTTTCTGTTAAAGAATATTTCATGTTTTAGAATTTCTTAGCCGCAATGACTGCAGCACATTGCGGCTAAGGAAGACTATTCCGTACCAAAATGAATAAACATAAAAAATATAATATTCTTGTCATTCATACATATTCAACAGTATAAAACTAATCATGTTGCCAGTAACAAAAATTATCGTATTAATGATAACATAGAATTAAATACTGAGAAAAAAAAGGCAAAAGAAATTCAGGTAATATGCTATTATTAATTGATTTTTTTGATGAAAGTATTAAAAAATACTAAAATAATTTAAATATGAAAAATAATGAGGTAGATGTTACGATATTAACAAAGTAACAGGAAAAATATTGAAATTCGGAGAGAATATTCGCAATATTTGCGAAATCTCAGAAAATGCCTTAAAATTCGCAAAATGTTTTGCGGAAATTCGCACCGAAATAAAAATATTTCCTTACCTTTATTCATGAATTTAGTGGGACTCTCAGTGATTTTTCTCTTTTCTACAGATGAATCAAATGATCTTGTAACCTCGTCTTCAGCAGCCGTAGAATATCGGCTGCTAAGCGGGACATGGCGAGGTAAACGTTCCAACACCAATCCGGAGCACAGATCAGCCACAGCTGTGATCAGAAGCAACAGGACCACCTACAAAGTAATAGATCATATTAAAATTGCAGTTCTTGAGATCAACTTCAGTTGACTTTGATTGGAAGCAAAATGCTCTATACATACGATGCTGAAAGTCTTTATTTCACTGTAAATTATAAAATCTGAAATAGTATGATTTTGTTCTGGTATAAAACTATCATTATGCAGCTGCTGTAAAACGCAACTTAGTTATAATAGCTTCAAGATGTCAATTCTGCACTCAAAAAGGTGCAATTTTAATAATTTATTCCTGATTTTGATGTAAGTTACTGAAATTCCGTATATGTTTTACTACACTCCAAACACATTTCACCAATTATAATTTGTAAATCCTCTTCTAATAAATATCTAATACTATAAGAGCCGAATAAAAAATAATTATGATTTCTTTAGTTCTTATGGTCACAAAAATCCATTAAATTTCTTGACCAATATCATTTGAAAACACTAAAGGTATACAAGGTTTACGTCTTACAAATAGGTTCAATAAATTGAAATTTTAATTTATAAACGAGTAGAAATATAGAAAATAGAAAACATTAATAAAATCTTCCAAATAATTATGAATGAATCATTTGGTGTTTTAAAATTATATTTTTATGCAATAAAAAGAGCAATAATAGTCACTAAATCATCATGCAACTAATTCATTATGAAAGATCTAAGACAGCATATGTTCCATACTATAAGAAACACAACAAATCCTTCAAAATTTTTATTTTAATTACATTAATCAAAATTATGTCGAACCCTCATTCGAATCTAATATGTATAATTCGACATAATTTTGATTTTTAATGTAATTAAAATCAAAATTTTGTAGGATTTGTCATGTGTCCTATAGTATGAGAAATACGCTGCTATCTGTTCATTTGGGTTAAGATGATGAACGTTATTGAGAATCAATTGTGCAAGCAAGGGTAGGTACAATTACTTTTTGTGCAATAAAAATGAATAGTAATTCATTAAATTTTCATACAACTAATTCATAATGAATAATCGGGTCATATAGGGAGAGGAGGGAGGAAATGTTATTCAGCATTATACAAGCAGTTGAAGATAGGGATTGTAAATTTACCGATTTTCCAATTGCCGATTATTCGTCGAGCCCACCAGCGGCCGAGCGGTAAAATCGCTGAACACTGGTAGTTCGGTCCGAGGTTCGAGTCCCGCGAACGGGCTGGCTGCATGGGCGTTTTCGTGGTTTTCCCCATGTGTAACGTATATACGAGCCATTTCCCTTAGAAAGTCCTCCACGAAAGGCATCCCTCCCCTTAGGCAGATAGCCCTAGTGTGCTTTGCCATAATTAAATACACCACCACCACACACACCACCACCGATTATTCGTCAAAACTGACAGCTAAAACCTTTGACAATTATTATTGGCGTTCCCCTTCTAAAATATTTAATGAAAACTTAGATGTAAGTAGCATAAAAATCGCATTTTATTTAAAACTTAAAAGGCACATAAAATGTACGAAAATGAACTAACTTTTTAACAAGAAAACATAAAATATAACAAAATACAAAAGTAATTCAAAACAATTTGCGGCATGTTAACAGATTGTTATACTATAAACACAAAAAAGGTCTTTCAAGGAAATATCGAGGGAAGTCCCCCCTTTGGTAATTTCGTTAGTCAAAAATTAGAAAACTGAAATCATGTAAATTAATATTTATCCTTTTCATAATAGATGAAATAACAATCTAGTTAATATATTGAATGAAAAAGAAAGGAACTATACTTGAGGAAAACCACGTTTTACAAAAAAGGCCTTTTCATATAAATAAATTTCAGGTATTCAAATTCCAGGGGAAATTATTGTTAAGATACTCGACTGTGACCCTTTTAGTAGTTACTAAGGATCTGAAAATGCTTAGAAATTAACTCTTAAACGTGTTCCTGCCGCTTATTAGGTAAGAGCTCTTAAATCAGATCGCTGTTCCACTGACAGTAATATTTTCGCCTAATTCTCTTATATTCTGAATTCACAATAAAGTCTGTCGCTTAACAAAGCTGCCAATCAAGTCAATTTTCAAGTGTTATGGCTGACTTACTAGCTTCGCAAAATGTGAAGTTCACTCGATAAACAAATAAGTAGTAATAACCATAAAACGTGTTAGTAACTAATTACATGTTAATTACACAAAACTTAAAATATAAGAAATCAAAAATAAGCGCTTTGCAAGCAAACAACTTCTTACTTGCAATTTACTTTCAGTCGAAAGCTATAAATTAACTGGTATACTCGTCGAAAATATCAGCATATTTTACGGCAAAAATGTTTTATAATGATTATCAGTCCCGTTTATATTTGCAGAGTTTAAATGCCAAATTGTTACCTGAAAACTTTTAATTATAGTTTAACGTCTCAAAAAATTTACTATTAAAGTTTCAAAAAGTTAACAAAAAGTGCTTTATAAAAGAAAGAAATATATGATAACAAAAAAATTCAATGTGATCTCGGAATTTAAATTGTTTAACACCTAAAACTAATTTCTGCTAAACAGTTATAAGAAATAGCTGCCTAAGAATTAAAGGTACAGAAAATAAAATTTTATGTTTTAAAATGAGCTGTTCATTTGGCAAAGCCAAGACATGAGACAATTTGATATTATGCTAATACTGCTTTATGATAATATTTAATATCATGTTAGATATATGTACTCATTTAAAGAATTAAATATTTAAATTTTAAAGATATATTTATGCATTTATTTCCCAGAAAAGATTGCGCACAAAATTTGTAGCAATTGGTTCCCTCAAATAGCGTATCTGATTAAAATTACATTGTTTAAAATTTGTACAAATAATTATTTCTTTATTTTTTTATACTGAATTATAACATGAAAAAGAGTTGAAAGCGAAATGTCTTCGGTAAATAATTTAGAATAATGATGTAGAAAAATTTATTCTTCAAAAAATAATCAAACTTATAGCAAAGCCATAAATAACCATAAACAGTTAATGGCCATTCTGAGCAACGATTTCCCAGATCTGCGCTATCAAATAAAAAATGGACAGTCTTGAAAAATGGAAAAAGCACGGGATCTGTCCGTGTGAGTTATGTTGCTCATCTTGCGGATTCGAAATATTCTCAGCAGGACATTCAACATTAAGCTGATTTCAAACCGTCATATCAGAAGTACGTAACTGAATTTTTTATTAAGGACTATGTTAAAAATTTAATTACAAATTACTTGAATGATAGATTAAAATTATGTAAAATTAGAAAATGGTACTTATAAAATGTTCTGGATACCTGTACACTAAACAACTTCAAAATAAAATCGTGATGCTTAGGAAAGAGGAATGCGATATATATTCAATAAGTTTGTTAATTATGTCATTCAATATTATGTTTGCCCAAAAATTACAAAAAATTTAACATATTTCAATAAACTTATAGGTTAAATTATTTTGATTTTAAATGAAGCAATGATTATTCACGATCCATAACTGTATTGATTTAAATAAACTTTCATTCTCCCATTAGGACTGATGACTTTTGATTTTTCACCGATAATGTTAACTGCAAGTGCTGAAACTACGCTCGTTACCAAAAATTAAGGAAAAAAATCACAAAATAGCTCTTTCATAAATAAGCCAATCCGTATAAAATTTGAATATGTTGTAAAAATAAGGATTGCTGAGTAAAACTTCAGTATGCAAATTAGTGGCGCTGCAATCGATATACACCATCATTTTTTTTTCACATCTATGGGAGAAAAGAGCACACATAGAGCTGCCAGAATTTGCCTTACGAATATTGAAGTATTATAGCCTTAAACATTATCACTTTTCCACAATTATTTTACTAAACGGAGATACAAAGTGATGATTTAATAATGTAACGTCAACTAACATTTTACTACTAAGCAGAACTCTTTCATAGCATGAAAGAAAACCCGTGTTAATAGAACTACTAAAGTCGTTATTAATTATGAAGTTTTTGAAACAACCATACTGCAAGGAATTTAAAAAAACGATTTCTTGAGTGAATATGTTACCGGCATTAATTGGTAAGAAGTTTTGGTTGCTAAGTCTCAGTGTCGCTGTTCATTTCCTCGATTCTTACCGTCAAAGCTGCCAGCTGCAACAGGTCATTTGAAATAATTTTTGGGTGTAAAAATAAAAAGATGGTTTTTTTTTTTTTTTTGTTGTTGTTGTCGTTGTATTTCTCCCAGAGATGTCTAGTGCTAGAGGCAAAGATGTCGGTGTAAATCATTTAGAAGCGTAGGAAAGCATACTCTTTCCAAAACTGCTTTTAGGGTTGTTGAAAGCTATAGTTCCTGCATTTTGCTCCCCCCCCCCCCTTTTTTTTTTTTGGTCAGAGCAACAGTTTTACTACCTCATTAACCTAGATATGACACCGAAACAATTTATATTATTGCAAAAGTTTTGGTGAGATATTTTATTTGCCTTCATATCCCAATTAGTGTCCAATGAGATGGATCTCCTTATTGATCTATAGTTTATGCAATATCTCTATACCTTATTTAATCTAACCTCATATGCAAGGCATGACGCAAGAAAATACTAAAAAGATAGCATTTAGAGCCGCCGTGGGGTAATATTTATTATTTAAATACTAGTGTTTTTAATTAGTATTCTATTGGGTATTAATAAAAAGCTTTCCAAAATTCGAAGTTTCAACTCTTTTCAGATTAGGATTCGAAAAATTTTAATGTCGGGGGAAAAAAAGACGCGAAGCTTCGAGTTTTCAATATTTACGGGATTTTGAGATTCGAATAAACATTCTTAATTTTAATCCAAAAGATTTCTTTTAGAGTAAAATTGCCTTGGACGCCATACTGTATTTCTTATTCATTAAAGTATTCCAACATTAATCTAATGACAAGCAAATCGATTAATGCTATTATACACTCGTTCGAAAAATCCAGAGAATTCGCACATTATGTCGAATTTCTGAAAAACGGGCAGATTTTAATGAAATTTGATATAAACATATATTTGTAACAGAGAGAGGACACT